ATCATCTTCATAAAATAATTTCTAAGGTCTGTGTCTTCTGCTTCATCTGTATTTGACTTTTCAGGTCTTGCTGATGTGGAGCGTCTAGATTCTGGTAGTGTCATATTGGTCTTTCTATTGCTGAATGTGTTCTTAAATTGTTGCCTTCCAATCCCTTCTTTGAGTGGGTGCAAATGGGGTCTCTCCCTCTCTTCTGGTCTCCCAGTGGTGTATGTGGGCCAATACTTCAGTGTCTGTAACTCTAGATCATCTGCTTCTCCTTGTATTCTCCTCACTCAAGCAGATCACCGTGGGCAGAGGGGGAGCCCAGAGTGGGGAGTGGCAGACCTCATGTCCTTTCTGTCTCAGGGGTTCACTCTAAGCAAGGAGCAGGCTCTGGAATATCCAAGGAGAGAGTGATGGGTAGGAGTATGGCCCACACTCACCTCAAGCAGAGCATGGCAGGTGGGGAGGGGGCAAGAATGGGATGTGACAGGACTCAAGTACTCCCTGTCTGGGCAGGTCCACTCTAAGCAAGGAGCAGGCTCAGGAAGACCCAAGGAGGGGGTGATGGGTAGGAATTGGGGCTCAAATAGAGTCCACACTCACCTCAAGCAGAGCATGGTGGGTAGAGGGGGAGCCAAGAGTGGGGTGTGGCAGGACTCATGTCCTTCCTGTCTTGGTTGTTTCTAATTTAAATAAAATTTATTAATAAAAAAAGACCAAAGCTACAGAGAAACCCTGTCTGGAAAAAAAAGAAGAAAAGAAAACAAAATCCAGGCTATTGCCAAGACTATAGATTGCTCTTCACAAATTCATATCAAGGCCCAATTGTTGAAGACAGAACTCAAAGAACATGGAGAATTCGAACTGGTGCCCACACAGAACCCAGACTTTTTTGAAAATTAACAAGACTAGATCTACAGAGCCTACTTCAGCCTTCTGGCCACTCCTCACATCACCACTATGCACTGTACACCATGGGTCTACACCTGACACAACAGCCTAGGCTTGCCTGCTTGTGAGTTTATAAAATACTTCATACTCTATGCCTCCATTTGTGTCCGCATCCTTCACCCAAGTGCAGATGTGAAAGTCTACTATAGAATATAGTTGCAGCTTGTTCATTCTCACTGCTATCTGTAGGCCAGAGCATAAATCCTCTACGTTGAACTACTTACTTATAATACTCATAATGACTTTTGTATCTTCCAGTTTGAAGTTGTTAATTGATGACTTGATAGGTTAATGGATAGATTGATTGAGGCAGGATCTCATTGTATATACCAGGCTGATCTGGGACTCACTGTATAACCACTATGTAGCCTCAAGCCTGTTCCAGTCACTTTACCTTAGCCTCACAAGTACTGAGATTACAGACATGAACTGCAATGCCTGGTTTGCAGGTTATTTTTATTTTGGTAATACCAATGTTTTATAGATGGCATTTCATAAGCTTGCGAAAGTGTGTGTGTGTGTGTGTGTGTGTGTGTGTGTGTGTGTCTGTACCATTCTATTTGCTTCACTTTGGTTTTTCCATAGAATACATCTTCCTATCATTTTATGGCAAACTTTTCTGTGTTCTTGCTGTTATTTCAGGTAAGCAATATTTTACTGGGCATTGTCTTGCTTTTAACCTACTAAAGTGTTAGGCCTAGATTCAAGAGCTTAGTTATACAGTAAGAGAATGAAAAAGATGGGTAAATACACAATACTTAGAAATTTTATTATATCAAGACTAACTGAAAACATTTTTAAAAGTTTTCAAAATAAATGGAAAACTGAATCCATGGGTAAGCAAGATATGTGGAAAACTGAATTAATTATCACATTATTACTGTGTGAATTATGCATCTATGAAATGTTAAATAATTCAGAAAAACCCACATGAAAAAGGATGGAGACAATATATGATTATGAGAGGTAAAGAGAATTAAATTAAGCTATATATTTGAAACATTTTTAAACTGGCATTGAAATGAGCATATGTGTTGTCTTCAATAAATAACTTAAGAGAATTAGAATAAATACTTAAAACATATGCTTATGAGTATGAGCCTCAAGCTAGTAAAGAATTAGTTTAATGAAAGTAGGACATGAAACATGCAAAATGAAACATGAATATTAAGAATAAAATGGAAGTAGATATTGTTTGAATTAGTCATGGTTCCCTAAAGGAACAGAACTGACAGAATGAATGTATACACTCTTTATCTAAGAAAGGATTTTATTTAGATTGGTGTATAGGCTGTGGTTAAGTTAACCTATCAATGACTGTCTGCCAACAGAAACTTCAAGAATCTAGTAGTTGTTCAGTCCATGAGCCTGGCTGTCTCAGCTGGTCTTCAGTATATTTTGGAACACTGTCTCTACCTCCCCAGCATGCACTGGGAAAGTAAGCATGCAGCACTACATCTGGCATTTTTATGTGGGTTCTGGAGGTAGAGCTCAAGGCCTCATGCTTTCCAGATAATCACTTTCCTTGCAATGTCATTTCTCCAACCATTATCACCTTTTCATGATGAAACTTTAAAAATTATTCAGGATAATAAGGTATTTCTTGCCCACAATAATACCCTTAATAGCCAGCACTTATCCAATGGCATACTTAAATAATATGTTTAAATTCAGAAATGAGAAAAAAAGAAGGTGCTTTCCCTGGTATTTAGTGTTAAAGTGAGAGATAAAGTTGGAAAAGAAAATTCATGTATTTGTCTTAGTTAGGGTTACTACTGTTGTGATGAGACACCATGACTAAGAGAAAAATGAGGACAGAAGGGCTTATTGGGCTTATACTTCTACATCATAATTCATCATTGAAGGAAGTCAGAGGGGAAATCAAGTACGGCAGAAGCTGGTGCAGAGGCCATGAGTTGGTACTGCTTACTGGATTGCTCCTCATGGATAACTCAGCCTGCTTTCTAGAAGAACACAGGTCCACCTGCCCAGGGTTCACCCACAATGGGTTCACTCTCTCCCATTAATCACTAATTAAAAATGTTCAACAGCTGTATCTTATGGCGGCATTGTCTCAACCTAGATTCTCTTCTGTCAGGTGTCTCTAGCTTGTGTCCAGTGACATAAATTAGCTAGGAAAAGTGTATGTGATGGATGATCACATGAAAAGAGAATTATTGGAATCAACTGAAAGACTTTGAATTTGTAAAAATTTAACAAGGATTCCAAACACAAATAACTTACAATAGGAAAAAAATCCTAGATTCTAACAGCCACCAAAATTTCAGTTAAAAAGAAAGTATCATTCATGATAGTGAACAAATAAAAAGAATCAAGGCATTAGATTGTCAAAAATTCCAAAAAATCTTATATGAGAAAAATATGAGCCTTCCTAAAAAGGAAAGACTTGAATAAGCATGTAACAAGATAAGGAAAGAGAAACTTACTGAAAAGACTATCAGCTTTCCTAAAGCTCTGTACAGTGAAAAATCACAATCATCAAATAAATAAATCAAATAAGATACACACATTGAGAAGATACCCTGTATTCACAGATTTGGAGAATTCAAATAATTAAAATAACTCTACTACTGAAAGTGAAGCAAAGAGTTTGTACAATTTCAATGACATCCCACACAGAACTAACTAAAGAACCCCAAATGCATCTGGAACAATAAAACCTCATCCCTTGTCAGAAGGCACTCCACCTCCTAACTTTAAAATATACCATGAAGCAGTAGTTATCAAAACACCATGGCATTTTCAAGACACAGATTCATAGACCAGCAGAACAGAATAGAGTCACTATAATAAACCCACACATCTACAGACTTTCAATAAAGATGAAAAGGATACATACACCCAGACACTGGGAAAGGTCAGTGTTTTTTTTAAATACTGTCAGGTAAGTTGGATAACCAACCAGGAAAACAACCATCAACTGCATTGAAGAGACCACCATCAGAAAAGAAGAAAAAATATTTGCAAAGTCCCTATCTGACAAGGGTTTTTAGCATGTCAAGACATATAAGGTCCTTAAGAACTTAAGAAAAATAAATGATTCAATCTTATGGGTAATAAATCTAAATAGACATTTCTCAAGGAAGGTATACAAAATGGCTAATGGATATATGAGAAAGAAAATGCTAAACATCACTAATCATCAGAAAATTGCAAATAGAAATGACCGGAAGACAGCAACTTATCGCATAAGAATAGTTACTATTAAAACACCAAAGAAAAGTGATGTGTGGATGTGGAGAAGGAAGCTACTACATGCTGTAGGTGAAATGTAAGACAATAGGAAGACTTCTCAAAAAGTTTAAAAAAATAGAATTACTGTATGATCAAGCTATCCCATTACTGGATATATATCTAAAGGGAAAATAAATCACTATGTTGAAAATGTTGAGGAGATGTCTGGCGTTCCATGTTCTCTATAGCACTATCACAACAGATGAGAAATGAAGCTACTGTATGCCTAGAACTGATGAGTGGAGAAGAAATTGTGATGCACACACCTGAGTGGATGTTATTTGAGCACAAAAAGGAAATTCTGTCATTTGCAACAACATGGATGGAACTAGAGGCTCGTCCATGTCAAGTAAAATAATCCGGAAACATAAAGAATCTATAGATAAGGAATCTATAAGACAGCAGTGAGACAGCAGTGAGACTTCCTTATGCTATTGCACAGAAGGGTAAGTATAGATAATGATTATGTGTTGCATAGCTTTAAAACCTAGCATAAAACGTTTGAAAAGTTTTAGGTCTAGAGAAATGGCAAGTGTCTAGTAAACAGATATGTTTAACCTGCTATCAAAATGTACACACTACTTCATAAATATCTATAATTTTTATGTATCAGTTAAAATGAATATAATTTTAATTTCAAAACTGAAAGACATTAATATTAATAAACCTCACTTGAATTTATTGCTGCCTACAATGGCATTATAAAAGTATTATTTATAAAATGGTCGTTGCTGCTAGCCAAAGCATAATTTAATTTAGAATGGTTTGTCTTAAATTTAAAGATCATTGAATGACAAAAAATTACATACTACTACTTAGGTGTGTCTGAAGGTGGTGGTCCATTAAGTTCTCAGTCTCTGTTGGTGATGGTGTGGACCTCAGTGTTGATAACGGGACAGGTGTGTTCTCTGACCTAGAGATATCATGACAGTGTTACAGAAATAAGTTAAATACTGACCAAAAATTCCTTCTCCTAGTAGCACATTATAAGAGTAGGTTATTAATCAAAATTTGATAGATTCATATACAAATTCTTTTGAGCAGTTGGCCAAAATACTAAAGTAGCCTATTGTTTTTACATTACAGTAGTGAGAGCAATAGCTTATGATCTGTTTCCATGGAGACCATATCCTCTATATGTCAAACTTATCTGTTCCACAAAGCCCAGATTCATACATGTAGATACTTAATTAGCATACTCCCTTGAGTATAAAACAGGCATTTAAAAATGACAACGCTTAAAACAGAATTCTTCATCCTCCTTTCAAAGCATGCTCTTCCTCTGCTGTACATATTTGTAAAAGTTCTCTTTAATGCTAAAAACATTTACCTTGAGAGAGAAAAAATTTTCTTCTCACTCTTTCTCCATGCCCATCACTCAGGAAACCTTCCCATCCTCAGTATAACCTTAACCCCTCCTCCTCATTTCTATCTCTTTAGTCTAGACAGTTATCATCTGTCTCCATTTTACTACTGAAGCAGTCTTCTCAAAATGCTCCTTCATTCTTGTCTTCTAAGACTTCTATTCCATGTGTCAGTGAGAGAGACTTCTAGATTATAGATAATGTTCCCACATCTCCCCAGATTGAGATGGGGCAGAATAAAAACCCCATCATTTTTTAAAATTGAAGACTATATAATGACAGCAAAACAAATTACATGCTACCAATTATGTCTATAGTTTTTGATGTCCCAGCCTCATATTTTCCTATTTCCATTTATCTCCCCATCATACACTGCTGTCCACCAAGGGACATATATATACGGGTGAATATTTTATTATATTAACCTAAAAATAAGACCTCAGATTCACCTTATGCCTCAGTTGGACCTTCCTCAGGTTTCCAATTTCAGTTTTTTATTTATTTATTTATTTAATTTATTTATTTGCAGTCAGGATTACTCCCTCCCACTTATTGTCTTTGCTGTTTCCTGTGAAAATCTGTTCTCAATAAAACATATTAAACATGGGACAGGGAGATAACTCTCATCAAGAAAGAGCATTTGTTGCTCAGAGAATCCTGGCTCAGTCCTTAGCACCCATATGAAGGTTTCATAATGGCCTGAATTAAAGTGTTAGCACCCTCTCCTGGCCTTCACAGATATGGCGGGTATAGATACATACAGGCAACACTCAAAAACACATAAAATAAAATTGAACATTTTCCTTTAAAAAAATAATATTACATTCAATTCACCATAAATGCAAATGCTTTCAACAGTCTACTTTTATAACCATCCATCCAATGTCAGAAACAGTCAAGCATATGAAACAAGTTTTCTTTCACTACCCTCTGCATGATGGATTTTTCCAGAACCCCTGGAATTAAAAAAAAATATTTCCAACTAGCAGTATTGTACCTAGTGTCTCTGTCACAGGAGGTTATCCTATAGCTTACCTTTTCTTTTTTAAATAAAAACAGAGAACAGCATTGATGACACATGAATTGAAAAATAAAATGATGAATACAATTGTAGTTGTCATCCAATTTAAAATATGATCCACTGTACCTGAAAAACACAAATCAGAACATCTTTATTCCTCTGGCTACACTGTTCTTGCCATCTGGGAGCCTTTAATTTGTAAAGCTTTTTGGATTTGCTTAATTGACATTCAGATTTACTCTATAAGATGTTTTCTCATTGCCATGGAAAGAAAAGTGAAATCCTACAGAGTAGTTTCTTCTTCACTTGGATATAATTAAGACTGTGCATGCCTTTAAGCGAGGCATTATGGCTTTGACTTTGACTACACAGATGTTGTTTTATTGAGTTTTTACAATTCTTTTTCAATAAGATGCTACAAAGCCATTTTAGGTAGGTGAAGGAGATTGAACATGAAGAATTTGGCACTGAAATATGAAATCTTCTCTGAAGACAACTCCAACAAAGCAGAAAAAACTACACATGGAATCTCACCAGAATCAGGAATTCATATCCCTAATGTTTAATATAAGACTAAAGCAGAATCTTCTTTTGAATTGATATAAATTTCACCTTAATGATGCTTGCATTTTAATAAAAAAATAAAATTAAGCATATTAACACAGCCAATATATTTATAGAGATGCTTATGGTATTTAATTTACATAAACCAGTCTTATGACTTGGGAAATTGATCTTGAACAGGAGGTGGCTGACTTCTGCTTCAAAAAAACAAACATAACACAAATGTTTATCTCTAATATTTCTTGAGAGTCCTTAAAAAATAGCATCAAATTATAAACTGTTAAGTGAAAAGAGCAAGAACATGGGAGGAAACAGACTTAGTAAACATGTAAAGTGAGCAGAAGGATGAGTTCTGGAGGAGAAGGATCAAGAAAGTAAAACAGGGGGAGTCCAGGGAAGCTGCGGTTCTTCCAGCAGCATCAGGTAAACAGGCCGGCTTCCCGGCCTGTGCCCCAGTGCCTGCAGATCGCCTGGGACCTGCACAGAGCTCCCAATCCCGGCGGGAGCCAAGCACCCCAGACTCGGGATCTTTGCTCACACCAACGAGACCAGGAAAGGAGAGGAGGCTGGGAGTCCAGGGAAGCTGCGGTTCTTCCAGCAGCATCAGGTAAACAGGCAGGCTTCCCGGCCTGTGCTCCAGTGCCTGCAGATCGCCTGGGTCCTGCACAGAGCTCCCAATCCTGGCGGGAGCCAAGCACCCAGACCCCAGGTCTTCTCTCCCACCAACGAGACCAGGAAACCAGAGGACCCAGGGAGACCAGGGGAGTAGCTGTTCTGGATCAAGTACAACAGTACCCAGCATAGGGTCCAGGGAACCAGGTAAGAGGATAAGCGCCCCAGATTCCTGTTCTTCTCCACCCACGGGACCAGCATTCGGACAAGGAATAGAAGAACCACCAGATTATTGGACTTGCTAGCACCCACCAAAAGGGAACTCTGGTCCCCAGACCAGTAAGGGGCTCTTTCTGCACCCACTAGAAGAAGAGATGGGAAAGAGACAATACAAAAACACAGTCAGCAACAGAAAAACAAATATGACACTGCCAGATTCTAGAGACTCCACACCAGCAAGACCCCAACATTCCAATGCGGACGAAGCAGAAGAGAACGACCTTAAAAGCACTTTCATGAAAATGATAGAGGCCCTAAAAGAGGATATTGGAAAATCCCTCAAAGAAATGGAAGAAAAAACAAACCAAAAAATGCAAGAATTGGAAGAAAAAACAAACCAAAAAAGGCAGAAAATGGAAGAAGAAATGAAGCAAAAAATGCAGGAAATGGAAGAAAAAACAAAGCAAAAAATGCAAGAATTGGAAGAAGAATCATACCAAAAAAGGCAGGAAATGGAAGAAGAAACAAAGCAAAAAATGCAAGAAATGGTAGAAAAAACAAAGCAAAAAATGAAAAAAATGGAAGAAGAAACAAACCAAAAAAGGCAGGAAATGGAAGAAGAAACAAAGCACAAAATGCAAGAAATGGAACAAAAAACAAACCAAAAAATGCAAGAAATGGAAGAAAGAACAAACCAAAAAATTCATAAAAGGCAACAAACGGACGAACAGATAAACAGAAAATTGCAAGAAGCAATGCAAACACTGCAAGGGTTGAAAACTGAAATAGAGTCATTAAAAAAAACACAATCTGAAGAAAGGCAGAAAATAGAAAAGCTGGACAAACAGACAGGCACTACCAATACAAGCATTACCAACAGAATAGAAGAGATGGAAGAGAGAATCTCAAGTGTTGAAGATACGCTAGGAGAAATGGATTTATCAACCAAAGAAAACCTTAAATCCAACAAATCCTTAACACAAAACATCCAGGAAATATGGGACACCATGAAAAGACCAAACCTAAGAATAATAGGTATAGAAGAAGGAGAAGAAATCCAGCTCAAAGGGGCAGAAGGCATATTCAACAAAATCATAGAAGAAAACTTTCCCAACCTTAAGAAAGACATGCCAATGAAGGTACAAGAAGCCTACAGAACACCAAATAGAGTGGACCACAAAAAAAAATCCCCTCGCCACATAATAATCAAGACCCCAAACATACAGAATAAAGAAAGAATATTAAGAGCAGCTAAGGAAAAAGGTCAAGTAACATATAAAGGCAGACCTATCAGAATTACACCTGATTTCTCCATGGAAACGCTGAAAGCCAGAAGGTCCTGGATAGATATTCTACCTACACTAAGAGACCACGGATGCCAGCCCAGACTACTGTACCCGGCAAAGCTCTCAATCACTATAGACGGAGAAAACAAGATATTCCATGACAAAACTAGATTCAAGCAATATGTGTCCACTAACCCAGCCCTACAGAAAATTTTGGAAGGAAAACTCCAACCCAAGGAAGCTAACTACAACCAGAAAAACATAAGCATTAGAGAATCTCTCTCTACCAACAGCCAAAAGAACAAAGGGGTGAAATTCCACACATAATTCCACCAACAACAACCATCGCAAATCGAAGAAGGATGAGCAATCATTGGTCATTAATATCCCTCAATATTAATGGCCTTAACTCACCCATAAAAAGACACAGACTAGCAGATTGGATTCGAAGACAGAACCCTTCCTTCTGCTGCATACAAGAAACACACCTCACCCTTAAAGACAGACATTACCTGAGAATTAAAGGTTGGGAAAAAATTTTTCAATCGAATGGACCCAAGAAACAAGCCGGGGTAGCAATCCTAATATCTAACAAACTAGACTTTAAAATAAAATCAATCAAAAGAGATGAAGGAGGTCATTACATACTCATCACAGGTGAAACCCACCAAGAGGAAGTGTCTATTCTGAACATCTATGCCCCAAATACAAAGGCTTCCACATTCGTTAAAGAAACATTATTAGAACTTAAATCTCATCTAAAGCCCCACACAGTTATAGTGGGAGATTTCAACACACCACTCTCACCACTAGACAGGAATACCAAACAGAAACTCAACAAAGAAGCAAAAGGGCTAATAGAAGTAATGACCCAACTGGGATTAACAGATATCTATAGAACATTTCATCCACATAAAAAAGAATATACCTTCTTCTCACCACCACATGGAACCTTCTCAAAAATCGACCACATACTTGGCAACATATCAAACCTCAGCAGCTACAAAAAAATTGGAATAACTCCATGCATCTTATCAGACCACCATGCCTTAAAATTAGAATTCAACAACAACACAAATTGCAGAAAACCTACAAACTCATGGAAATTGAATAATGCTCAACTGCACCATCCCTGGGTCAAAGAGGAAATAAAAAAAGAAATTAAAGACTTCCTTGAATTCAATGAGAATGAAGACACAACATACCCAAACCTATGGGACACTTTGAAAGCAGTGCTACGGGGGAAGTTCATAGTGCTAAATGCTCACATGAAGAAACAGGAGAACAGTTATACCAGAGAATTAACATCACAGCTGAAAGCTCTAGAACACAAAGAAGCACACTCCCCCAGGAGGAGTAGAAGCCAGGAAATAATCAAATTGAGGGCTGAAATTAATAAAGTAGAAACCAGGAAAACAATACAAAGAATCAACGCAACGAAGAGTTGGTTCTTTGAGAAAATCAACAAGATAGACAAACCTTTGTCCAAACTTACCAAACAGCAGAGAGTGAACACGCAAATTAACAAAATTAGAAATGAAAAGGGGGACATAACAACAGACTCTGAGGAAATCCAGAGAATCATTAGGTCATACTTTGAAAACCTGTACTCCACAAAATTCGAAAATTTAAAGGAAATGGATGACTTCCTGGACAGCTATCAATTGCCAAAACTAAATCAAGAACAGATAAGCAATTTAAATAGACCTATAACCCCTATGGAAATAGAAGCTGTCATCAAAAGTCTCCCAACCAAAAAAAGCCCAGGTCCAGATGGCCTCAGTGCAGAATTCTACCAGAAATTCAAAGAACAGCTTATACCAATTCTTCTCAAAGTGTTCCACACAATAGAAGCAGAAGGGTCTTTGCCAAACTCTTTCTATGAGGCTTCAATAACCTTGATCCCCAAGCCACACAAAGATACAACTAAGAAAGAGAACTTCAGACCAATATCCCTCATGAACATTGATGCAAAAATACTCAATAAAATACTGGCAAATCGGATCCAAGAACACATCAAAACAATCATTCACCACGATCAAGTAGGTTTCATCTCAGGAATGCAGGGATGGTTCAACATACGAAAATCCATCAACGTAATCCACCATATAAACAAGCTGAAAAACAAAAATCACATGATCATCTCACTAGATGCTGAAAAAGCCTTTGACAAAATCCAACACCCCTTCATGATAAAGGTCTTGGAGAGATCTGGGATAACAGGGACATACTTAAACATAATAAAAGCTATATACAGTAAACCAACAGCCAACATCAAACTAAATGGACAGAAACTCAACGCAATTCCTCTAAAATCAGGAACAAAACAAGGCTGTCCACTCTCTCGATACCTTTTCAACATGGTACTTGAAGTTCTAGCTATTGCCATATGACAACAAAGGGGGATCAAGGGGATACAAATTGGGAAGGAAGAGGTCAAACTTT